TTGCTGGGTTCCCACATGCAGAGTTTTCTGAAAAATGCTTTTTATTGGAAAATGTAAAATTCAACATAAATGTGGTTTCTGAGTAATCACAACATCTATGGTACTTTGTTTACCTGGAAGCAGGTACATATTGAGAGCGTGCTTTTGCTATGATGTGTTTTTCTGATAATAGATTTTCAGAGAAACTTAATACAGTTAGAATATATATAGCCTTTTGAAAGAAAAATCTAATTCTGAAGAGATTTGTCCAAGATGTCTATGATAAATATTATGTAGAAAATATTGTCTCTTGACTTTATACCTTTATTTTCAAAACACAAATTCTGTTTGAATAACTTGAAATTTTTTATTTTTTATTTTAAATCCATTGATAGAAAGGGGAGGAATGAGTAACTATAATATTCAGTGGAACTCAAGCTCTAATGGTCCGCTACAGGTAAGAGTGATAGAAAGTTTTTAGCTGGTGTAACTTTGTTGATTTCAACACATATAAGTAATCTGAATATAGTTTCTTGTTATTTACACTGTGTGATACAAGCCTGTTCCCTTTTTTTTCTGCATCATGTTTACACCAAAGTGAGCATTTTTTTTTTTTTTTTTTCTCGTTTCAGCATGAAATGACTTTGTGTAAGTTAATATTTGGGTTTCACATATATATATTTTGGAAAACCTTTTGTTCTCCAGGAAGTTGATTTTTATTTTCCTGCAATCATTCCCATTACTGTGTCAATCTGGAAAACATCACACTAATGTAACCCTAATTTTAGTAAACTATTCCAGCAAGCAGACTGGCAAAAGTTGCAAGTTGGAGCTGTATCCCTTCCTTATATCTTCAATCCTCTCTCCTCCCTGACCCATTAGGATACAATACTTACAGCCTTTCTGAGAGCTGGAGAGATCAAAGACTCTATACCTAATCCTGTGTCAGTCTAGTTTCCAAAGTCTCACACCAGTTGTAAACCTACATTTCTAGCATCCTTTTGTTCCAGGATACCCATGGTCAGAGCAGTCTGTTACAGCTTCACTTAGTCAAAGAAGAGTGATATGTTAGTCTAGTGAGGCAGGACTGTCTGCACTAGCTTTGTGTAAATATATAGTGTAATGTGTGTATGTAACAGATTTAATGTCAGGTGTCCACAGAATTTTGCCTATTTATGCTGGGACTTCAGTCAAATTGTCAGTATTTTTCCCTTTTTCTTCTGTTTTCTCATTAATACAATTTTTCAGGTGACATACAATATTTACCTGGATTTATGAATGTATATAGAAGTCTCTTTGATAAGAGAAAAAATGCAATTATACACTGTGGAAGACCTATTTCAGAAAGATAAGTTCATTTACAGTTTTGTAACTTTGGTCTTTGTCATTTACTTATGCGTGCATACAAGTGCAATGCAGAAGAATCTGACAGTTAAAACTGGTAAAAACAGAAGCCAACTGTTCTTTTTTTTGTCTTTAAAAATCTCTGTATGTTCATAATAATTATTGGGAACCATGGATTTCTCACTTGTTTGGTTTTTTATGTGAAAAGATGTCATGAGCACAGATATGTTATGTGCTAGATAATCAAGTATAAAAATAGTAAAACAGTTGCCTTTTTGGCATCCTGCACTCAGTTGATTGCCTTTGACTCTAAGCAGCACTGTATGTTAACCCTAATATGGTTTCTCTAAAATTCTAATCCCTAGTGTGAGATCTGCACACTGAAATGCAACAGCCTAAACCTACTCACCATTACAACTTACTCTTGTATTTTTGAAATATCACTATAAGGTGAAAGTCAAATCTACCCTATTCAGAACAAAAGTATATTCTACTGGTTTTGCATTAGTCAGGGCAATAAACTATAGTATATATACTATTTTTTTCTTTTGAGTAATCATTTTCTATTACTATTTCCTTTTTGAGGAAATCACAGTAGCAGGGGATGCAAAACACAGCTGACCTATTGCTACATATCTATTCCTCCAGATCTGTCTTTGTTTGCTTCTAAACCCTAGTAGCAGTTGATTTGTAGTTCCCATGGGAAGAACTGTTTAATAGCAAGCAGAATATTCCTTCCATTAATTTTGATTTAGATTACAATTCACATTCTCCTTTTATCTTAGCTTTGTCAAACAGCACGACTTAGGCACAGGTTAAAATAGAACATTCCTAAGTGTGCTTCAACAGCTTTTCCTAAAAGTTTTCAATCAGGTAAATTCTCTGGCCCATGTGGACCTGGTATACACACATGTCCACAGAAAGAATATTCCTGTAATTGTAGAAACACACAGTAACAGCACATTCATCTTATGATCTATTGCAGCCATAGCTGTTTGCCAGTGCTGTATGTTAATGTCTTTGGGGGCCCAAAGTCACTTAGTGATTGCAAAGTTACAGGTTCTCATATACTTAGGGTCCAGAAGTCAGGTTGTGTGTCATTTGGCTATTGCATTTTGAAAGCTAATGTTTGCATCCGTCTTATACAACACATACACATACTCTCCTCCCTGAAAACAAACAAACAAACAAACAAACAAACAAACAAACAAAACACAACAAAAAACCCTTCTGTTGTTAATGATAGAAAGATATGGGAAGTTTTAAAGTAATTTTTCCCCATGCGACGTGGATGTGTCAAAAAATTCCTTGGAAAAAGAAAAAAACAAACCAAACCAGACCAAAACAAAAAACCTTGCTGCAAAGTTCTCTGTCCCATTGGCCAAGTTTGTAATTAAACTTAACATTTCTGTTCGGTTTGAAACAAGGTGTTGTAGGGTGTCCCTTTCCCATTCTCTCTTCCCAGCTCCTCCTCCCCTGGGCCCAAGCCCAGGCTGTGTCCTAGCACCCTGCTTTCCTGCCATCCCTCCTCTCAGTCTCCTGAAGATGTCTGGGGTGGTTAGGATTCATCAGGTCACACCTCGGCCTGTCAGGATGTGGCGCCTCCTTTGCCCTGCTTCAGCCCATCGCTTCATTTCATCTGCACAGAGCCTGGTGACGAGCTGGCCTCGTTAGACACAAATAACCACAGCCAGCAAAATGAGCTGGCTATTTCCTTCCAGTTTACCTGTCACATCCCCTCGGATTTTGTTAAACCAGCCAGTGCTTTTATTAACCCCAATCCAGGCCAGATAAGCAAGTGCCTAAACACACACGTGTATGCATGCATGTGCAGGCACACACAGGCATGGAGTCCGACAGGGGCTTCCGGCTTAGGGCGGAGGGTGGCGAGGGACAGGCTACACTCCAGACCTTGCCTCTCCCACCACCCTTCTTTCCTCACCTTCCACTCTCCACTGCACATTGCCTTCAGAATCTCCTCTTCACCCAGCCTCAATCTGTTTTCAGCCTCTCCCACCACTCCACATGTTTCTTTCCCAGTACTTTGTCCCCTCATTTCCCCAACATGGTTTGACTCCTTCCTCCCTCTTCTCCTCCCTCAGTCTGACACCATGTTTTCTTCACTGTACTTCTCTACTTGAACCTGACTCTGTGACTTCCCCCAGTCTGCCCTCTTTCCTACATCACCAGCTCTCCTCTTCCACCTCCACTTCTATTGCTTCCCTAGATTTTACCACCCCTCTTTCCACCTGCCCAGCCTGAATCTGGAGCAGGGAAATGTGTTGAAGAGGTGAGGGCTCACTTCTGGCAAACTCTACAGACTCAGCTGTAACCACAGCAAACACAGCCCCATCATCCCATCCACCTCCAGCAGGCTCCTGTCTCCATCTCAGCACATGGAGAGAGGAGACACTCAGGCACAGAAATGGGGGACTGTTGGCCAGAATCTTCTCCCAAACATAAAATCTAGAAATTACTCTATTCAAAGATGAGAAAATAGAACATTGTTTTAACATGGGGATCATTCAGATCTACTTTCCTCTTTTACATGTGTGCCTATTTCTAACTCCTAGCATAAGGAAAATTACATTTAAATTTGTTTGGTACAGTACAACAAAACCAACATTTCCCTGGCATTTTTTTATGACTCTTAGAAAGAACACTTTCTTCCATGAGCAGTTTACATGGTATTTTATTGGCAAAAATAACTACATCAATAAATTGTAGGTGCATGTTGAAGAAAGCTGTTGATAGCACAGCAAAAGCTGGATTTTGGAATCTGAGCTGTTCTCCAGTGGGTGCTGAAGTATTTCTTAAGGAAGCAATAATCTGACAAGTACGATGTTGGATTGCTTATATTTCTTTGGTGTTTTTGCAAGGCATCTTTGCCTTTTCTTGGAAATGAGCACAAATCTTTTCTCAGGCCCTTCTTCTCCCCTACTTTTCAGCCTAACTGTATGCACCTCCTCCCCCTCCCTCCTTTTTCTTTTTACTTTCTCCATCCCCTTTAAATTGTAATTCAATCTCTTCCAACTCATGATGTCTTTTCTCTTTTTGGCACTCCCTCCACCCTCTCTCTCTCATTAGTTTAACTTGAGTTAATTAGGAATAGTAGGCAGCCCTCAATCTGTTGTGTTAAAATAGAACAATCCAAAACAGAGAGGCACAGACACAACTATGTGATTTCATTGTCTAAGGGAGACAGAAAACCAGTGGGGATTCTCTTATCTAGACTAACATCTTCCCAATGGTTAATCTAACTGGCTTTAAAATGTTCTGCAAATGCAGTTCTAGGATAACAATCTTTCCATGTTTCCTTTTTCTTTTTTTTTTTTTTCCTTTCCATTTCATCATTGGCAAGAATGAGTGAATTGGATTGACATGGAGGTGATAGAGGAAGAGAAATAGTCTACACGTCAAAATGACAATGTATATTACATGGTTAACAGAATGAGTGGTACGTGTAATGGCTGTGGGTATTTTCATCTGCTGTGTTGTACAATAAGGTCCTTTTTTTTCCCAAGTGTATCATCAAGATCACTCTCAATTCAATGGAGATTAAATGTTTGCTTGAAGGATCTCTTTCTATGAGTAATATCGCCTGATAAATGTGGAACTGAAGTAAGAATCTAAGTATTCACTTGCTGCTATTACTGAATTGTGTATATATAGAGGTCATGCTTGGTACTCTGACTGTAGTGCTGATCACAGACCTTAGGGCAGAGTGTGCTGTGGAAGTGAAATATAACAGAACTAAGTCAAACCCTGATTGTAAAGGTAAGGCCTTGCATTTTTGATTGACTACATATGCTACTGTTTGGATGAAATGCATGCTCAGGAAAGACAGCTATAACTGTGCAACTAATACAAAAATACATGCCTGTATAAAACATATATAAGTCTATGTGTTCTTCTGTGTTGTTATTTGTATATCTAAAACCAAAAATACATAAAGTTTAAGCCTTCAAAAATAGCTATGTAAGATTCATGGACTACCAATAACCACATTTACAGCAATGAATACATTAAATTGCTAATTTTGTATGTGCCTGCATGCATATGAGGATGTGTGGCAGTAATTAGTGTTAATAATTTATCCATTAATTAGCAATGTTAATGCAAATATGCTTTTAAATTAAAATAATTCCAGTGATCTTTCTGAAATCTGATATTCAAAAAACAGAATGACAAATTTATTTGGAAAAAGGGAAAAAAGAGATACATTGAAAGTACAGCAATCAAAATGTCATTATGTATGTTAAGAAAAATTCATTTCCTTTCTGACAAAATCATCTCTTTATGACAAAGAAAACATCAGACTATTGGGGAACACAGGGAATGTGTAATGAAAGACAAATATAAGCTTGACTATCAGAACATACAAGAATATTAAAACTTTGAAGAAGACAATATCCCCTCAAAAAGACATCCTTGGTAATGTGTGAGGGAATTTCTAGCTGGACAGAATTGATATGCAACCAAACATGTTGCATTAAGTTTTGTGGGTTTTTACAGTTTAAGGTTAATATATTGGTTATTCATTTTCCCAAATATTGGTAGAGTTATGTGCAAACTGTATTACATCCAGTGAGGAGAGACAAATTTGGCCCTTATAATGATACTCTGTGTGATCTTTGCTTTAAATAATAATGCAAAAATGTGATGATGGGTGTTGGTCTATTTTACACTACAAATGAAAAATACTTTTATTTTTCCATGAAATTAAAAGAATTTACAGTAACACCTCTGTCTCAATATTGATGATTAAGATTGTTTAATTTGCACAATATTTTTCTCCCTATAAGCATATAGATTACAATGTGAGAGTTTCATAAGAAAAAACTATAAATCTGTGATTTAATAAAAATCCAGGGCATTATAGATCAATACACTAGATGACATTAACAATTTATGCAGTTTTGACACAAAAATTATTCAATTTCAGTTTTACATGCATGTTGAAGTAAACCACATATGGACTCACACATAAAACCATTGTTTAGTCAAAAAGTAAAATAGTAAGGGAAAATACTAAAACTAAATTAATCTAACATCTATCCAGCAAATATCTTCAAAGTCCATACCTTTAGATAGGCAAAAAATATCTGCCATTCTATCACATAAATAGTAAATATACTGGTGATTTTACAAGAGCAAACATATTTATCTCCCACATGCAACAGATTAGAACCATAGTTTCTGTCAGTCTTCATCACTTTCCCTATGTAAAACTGATGTGCAAGCCCCTGAAAATGCTCTGTGCCTGTAACAGCACACTTTTCAGTGCAATGCACACTAACCCCCTGTCTTCCATTTTATATATATATATATATATATATATATATATATATATATATACTGCCATGACAAGAGTAGGAGAAAGATAGTGCTGTTGTCTGAGAAGAACCACTTTAACACATAATAAACTAAGGTAAGTACTTGTAATGACCTGAGTGGAATGACTGTAGAAGATTGTTATGCAACACAAAGAGGAGTCCACAGTCCTGAGTGTTTTCAGTTCACTGCTATCTATGAAATTCAGTCCAGACAATGTTCCCACAGCATTTGGTTTCAACCATACTGAGTGTGAGACTTTTACAAAGCTGCAGAATGCAGGATCAGATAATAAGAAGTTACAGAACCAGGAGCAAAGAAAGTTTTAAAATGCACAGGTAATGCAGGCATGTCTGTGTCCTCTGCGAGTTAGAGGCACATAGCTATTCATACATGTGGCTATCTAATCCAAAATATTACAAAAGCATAAAGCCAATAGTTTTAGAAATTATCCTTTAAAAACTTCAAGTGGTTTTAATTATTTTGATACTAAATCCAGCTGTAAATCATTTTGGTGTGATGACAGTTTACCATTTGTTAACAGTGTTTATGTTTGTATTGCAGTTGATCTTGTCTTATTCTTCAGACATAGAGATAGATTCAGAAATATAAAAATATATATAGGATGAAACAATGGTATTTTTTGATTTTAAATAATGCTAAAATTCACCTCAGAACTAAAACTCAGACTAAGAAATAATTCAAAAATGTATTGCTTATATGCATATTTGTTAAAGAATACACAAAACCTAATATTGATACCTACACAAAGAAATTCAGGAAAACAGAAAAGATGTTCTGAAGGCATAAAGGCAATAAAGCTCACAATGTTCAAGCTGTAGCATTGTAATTCATGATCTCAAAGAATTTGTTTAGGTTATATATAGAATAATATTAACTATGATCAGAGTCATGTGCTATCCCAGGAACATGCAGAATATTAATCAGATTGCTAATTTCCTCAGAGGCCAGAGGTTCAGCAGAAAATTTTAATGGTTAATAAGCTTTAATGTGTTAGTAGGAACACTGGAAAAGGATTTAGATAGTCAGAATGGCTTGCTGTATACAGAAATATGCTACAATTTTGAGGTGTGCTCCTACAGTATATTCCATCTGATTACTATTGCCTTTGGCAAGAAACTCATAAATTAATTAGATCTGTACATTTAAATGCATTTGCATTGTTGAACTGATACTAAAAAAAAGTATGATATATTAGACAATGAGGCCCCATATTGATGTTATAAATCTAGCATTTTCTCATAAAACATTAACTCCACACTTTTAAATCGAGGAAGGTCTTCCTGTGTTTTAGATTTGAACAAATACTTTTCAGTATCTGGGTGAGAATAGCAGAGTGGGAATATGCAGGTCCTCCTCTAACTTCACAGATGGAATGTATTGAGAAGGTACTGCAAGATGCCAGCAGACACAGGAACCACCCACACCTTTAGGTGAGGAAGCTGTACTTGACAACATCGTGCACAAACTCTGCCACCGTAAATAATTTACACTCACTGACACATTATATGGTCCTGTCTCTGAAAGTTGTTTTGTTTCCATTAAGCAAACTCTTATTCCAAGAACTAATGTGTCTGACATATCTCGAGTTTTAAACCTGTTACAATATGATGTGATTAGTCTGTTAAATGAAGTTTTATTGCTGTTGGTGTCTGGGGGGTTTGGGTTTTTGTTTTGTTTTCTTCTACCTTTTGACTGAAAAAAATATAGTTAAAATTCTCATTAAGATTTTGGATGGTGTCTGTGTCTCAGGTGACAGTATTTCTTTTTTCATCTTCATACAGCAGCAAGAAATCTAGAAATAAAAGATTTTAATCTTTTATCCATAGATATTTCAGTGGTTTTATATTTTAGTCATGGAGAGAGATATGTGAAATTATTAGGACAAAAGCAGACAGATTCCCACTGTAGTGGAGTCATCCATCCAAAATATCCTTTCCTTTTTTTTTGAACCCTGACCATCCCTTTATAGTCCACTACATGGCATCACATATAGTCCCTGCTTCTGCAAATGTTCACCATCAGGCAAAGCACTTTCTGCCATGAATATTCATGTTCAATTTTTGGTGTTGACTGTCTAGCTACAGGAACAAACCTATGTAACAAAATATCTTTACATAATACTCAGGTTAGTATCTTTTCTTCATTGTTAGCATACTGTTTAACCTGAATTTAAGTAAATTAATTTAATTTGTCTTGTTTTCTATTTTCTATTAGCATTAATAATTTTTCAAAAACTAGTAAAGGAAGTTTAGACCCCCAAGAAGTACTATCTTATTAGATCAAAGTAAGCAGCTTTTCTTGTTTTGTGGTCAGGTCTGGGGGAAAATGAAAAGGAAGTCAGAGAACTTATATTTGGAAGTATCTGTGAAGTTATGACATTCTCATGTGTTTAAAATTTTAAAACTTTTCCCAAAACAAATTGCCATGACTTATTTTAAGAAACATTCTTTTGTTGTCTTTGTATAAACTGATTAATTAAATGTACAAAAATACATAGCTTTAAGAATATATTGTCAGTCTATATTATTTTACTAACTCTACACTTCAGGTCATGACAAAATTAGTGATTAGATAGAACAAAAATGGAATAATTTTGAAGTGCCTTATTAAAACTTGATTAGTTGTAAGTTCACTATTGCAGTTTCCACAGAGGTAGCATGTCCAGATAGCTATACCTCTATCACCATTTAAAAAAAAACAAAAACAAAAACAAACAAACAAACAAAAAAAAAACCCACAAAAGTTAGTAATTTGTTGTTGACTTGCATTTAAATGCATTATTTGTACAGCTGTAGCTAACACTTAAAGCAGACAAGACACTATAATCCAGTCTAATAAAATGTTCATTTTATTTTGTTTTACATGTTGTTACGAAGAGAAGAAATGGGAAAATAAATCTTGAGATTGAATCTGTCAAAACAATTCATGTACTTTGTCTTTCAGAGCTTCTTGCATTCCTTCCATCCAAAACCTGCTATGATTAAAAATTTTAACTGTAATAGGTGAGCTGAAAATGCAGTTCTCCAAACACTGAACATTTCTGAATTGTAAGTACTAAACCTATCAATAAATTTACTTACATACTAAGTGACATCTTAATAATCCCCTTTGACTTCATATGAACTTGCATGAATTTTCTAAATAGATGAACCTGCTCTCATCTTACAATTGTTCTTCCTCTTCATTGCAAATTACAGCACTTGAATCTCAAGTACTTTCTCCACAGAGACCAGACATTCTATAGTTTTTCTAAAAATGATCCTGAGTAGAAGCAGATTTTTTTTCTGCCTTTTGCAGAAATATGACTGTGTTGTCTTCCACTATTAATTAAGCGTCCTTGGCAATGCAGAACACTACAAACAAATGGATGAACAGATAGGTTTCTGTTTCTAAGACCTTACAGTTCTGTGAAGATAATAGACAGGTGTTTCACAGCTGGTACACAAGTATTACAAGTATCTTTACTATTATTTTTTCTTTTGATTTCTGACAAGAAATCAGATACATGGATTTTGCTGACAAACTGAAGACTGAAAGAGCTGGTCTTGATGAAAGATTGAAAAGGGAGGTGAGTCTTGTGAAAAGCAGATCACAAAGTGTAGGGATTCACAGTTGGTAGATTCCATTCTGATACAGTAGTTGCACCAGTGCATAGAGTTACTTCTGAGAGAACAAGATGGCACATACTCTAGTGTACAGAGTATTCTAGCTGCCAGTTTTACCACTCACCGTTGTAGTGTAGTGGAGTGATTTAAATCAAGACAGAGTAAAAGCAGATTTATTAAAGGGCCATGAAAGAGAAAGTGCAAAGTTTCAGTGTTAGAAAGAAGACCAAGAGCCCCTGTATGTCTCCAACCATGGTGATTAATTGATTAGAGTAAAATGGAAGAAAACTGGTTTTAAAAATATATTTGCTGCAGTTTGAGCCCCAGCTCCCAGCAACTGACAAATTTTAAAGTGGCTTTGGGAAAGTTTCACTTCAAAAGGCACATGACAGAGGTATGGAAGCTTATGCACTAAAAGAGAATGTGAATTATTTGCTTATGCTCTCACTGTGGAGGTGAAAGGAGGATCTAAGCATCATTAGCTTATAATGGGAAAATACTCAGAGTGCAGACTAAGAAACTAAAATTTCCTATTGAGGTCTTTTCTAACAATTTTGCTTACATTTTCTTGGTTTGTTTAAATAGCTTGTTATAAAGAATTCTCTTTGATTTTAGTGTATATATTACCCCACAGTAGTTAAGTATGCATCTCATCAAACCTTTCTTTATTTTCATTAATGTTATAAGTTTTAACTTGTATGTAGTTTGATAATCTCTTTCTGCTGCTTCTCTCTTCAAGCTATCTCCATTTTTACCCTCTGGTTTGGTGAAAGTTTCCATACTTGCTTATGTTGAATTAATACGAAATTCGAGGTGAAACTTCAAGACAATGTTATAATTTTTCTTAGTTTTGAGCTGAAATTGTAAATCTTTCTTGGTAATGATAGGGAATAGTAGTTTTATGTGAACTTATGAGAAAAACTGTGGATTTATGTTCTTGTGAAAGACTAAAGACTGTCTTCCATGGTCTGCAAAACTCCTGTGTCAGTGGAGTTTGGAAAGCTAACTAATCACGATAGTGTTGCAGTATTTTAGTTTTTCAGGCCAAATTTATAACTCTGGCTATACACAGCTCGTTTTTCAGGGAAAAATTGTAAGGAGTAAATAGTAACTCTACCTTCAATCACTGTCTCCTTCCTTTGACTCCTTTTGACCTCTCTGCTTTCTCCAGAATCTACTGAGCATCCAAGTAAATTTCCACTTATTACTATAATTGTCACCACTGCATGATACAGCTTTCGGTTATCATCCAGGTAATGTATAATTCATAGAATGTTTTGAGTTCTTAGTATAAGCATGATTATTGTGCATAAAATGTAACATTCTCTCTACCAAAACAATATATCAGAGTGTATGTATTGACACGCCTCATCAGGATGTTGAAAAATGCACTAAAATGTTATAAACATATACTGATTTTTCTTGGGAATAAGAAACCTCGATGTTCTCAGCTCTCATATTCTTCCTTACACAAGATAACAGAACCAAGAAGGTTTTTTTAATTACTCTGTAAATAGAGCCATCAAACCAAAATAGACCTAATTTTATTTAAAAAAAAAAAAAAAAAAAAATTCCTCAGAGATTTGCTTTAAAGGTCTGAAGTTGTGTTTTTTTTCTTGGGAAACTTTGGCAGCAGCAGCCAGATGAAGTGACACATAAATGGTGTAAAAGAGGGGTTTATTTACGTTCTTAATTATATAGATTACCAGCAGCCTGGATGGTCAGAACAAGCTTTAGAGCATTAACCTTAAATTAATCAAACAAGATTAAAAGCTGTGTGAGACTGAAAGGTATTTTTCACTGTTTAATGTGTTTATGAAAAGAAAAGCAAAACACACCACACACCCCTCCAACTAAAAAAAAAAAAAAAAAAAAAGAGCT